ACACACACACACACACACACACACTTGAATAAACATTAAGGGGCGTCCAGGTGATTCAGTTGGTTAAGTGTCTGATTCTTGATCTCAGTTCAGATCATGATCTCACTGTCTGTGAGTTTGAGCCCTGCATTGGGCTCTGTGCTGATGGCTCAGATGCTTGGGATTCTGTCTCCTCTCTTTGCCTCTCCCTTGTTCACTCGAATGCACACTCTCCCTCTTTCTCTCTCAAAATAAATTTTAAAAAAATGAATAAACACTAAAAAATAGATTATAAAAATAAAATCTTAAAAAAACAAGAGGAACGCCTGGGTGGCTTAGTTGGTTAGCAACCAGTCCCAGGGTCATGGGATCAAGCCCCGTATTGGGCTCCCCACTGAGCCTGTTTAAGATTCTTCCTCTCTCCCTCTGCCTCTCCCCACTGCTTGCACATGCATGAGCGCTTGCTCTCTCTAAAATAAAAAAATAAATAAAATAATATTTAATAGGTAAATAAATAAAACTTGAAAAAAGAAAATGATTTGTAGAAAATGTAATCCCATCACCTGTTTGGAAACAATATTAAACCATGACCTGTAATCACAATATGCTAACAAAGCAACTGTAGACTTCTTCAAGTCATGATAACACGTATCGTTCATGTAGTCAGAATTACAGTATGTACATTCAGCCACGCATACAGATGTTTTTCACATGCATTCCATGTCATTTTTCCCATCTCTCAATTAGGTTACTTCACATTTCTAGTATCAAAAATATACTTGCAGGGTGCCTGGGTGGCTCAGGCAGTTGAGCATTTAACTCTTGATTTCAGCTCAGGTCATGATCTCATCGTTCATGGGTTCAAGCCCCATGTTGGGCTCTGTGCTAACAGCGCTGAGCCTGCTTGGGATTCTGTCTCTCTCCCTCACTGGCTCTCTGCCCCTCCACTGCTGTCTCTCTCTCTGTCTGTCTCTTTCTCTCTCAAATAAAAACATTTAAAATATATGTATGTATGTATACACACACACACACACACACACACACGCACGCACATATATACTTGCAACAGTATCTTTATGTAAGTGGAAGCTATACCTTTCTGAGATTGCTGCATCTCTGGGTATGAATGTCTGTTAGGCTCTGAAGATTTCGTTTGCTTTCAGCAACTCTAAACAGTGACTGGATGACTTGATGTTTGGGTGTAATTGCTTTCTCATAGCACTGGCTTTCTCATAGCACTGGCTATGCTGGTGGGATTGCCTGCTTAGTATCTGGTGAAAGACTATTCCCAAAAGTTATTTGTTTTATTGTGAAAGAGATTGAATATTTTTTATACATTTGTTTCTTTTCTTTATCCTTCTGTAAAACGTTCCTCATTTATATTCATTTCTCTATTCTTGTCTTAACAGTTCCAGAACTTATCTTAACAGAACTTATCTTCTTAATAGTTCCAGTGATTTTTTTTATGTCAGCATACTAATTCTTTGATGTATTGTTTCAAACTTTTTCATATACAGTAATGAGTTTTTGTTTAATTAGACCTTTTTGTAATTTTGTAAAAATTTAAACATTCTTATGTAGTCTAATGTATTATTTCTTTTATAAATTGTCCTTCCATTTTTGTCCTCGGAAACTTGATGTGTGTAGTTCTACGTCATTGTTTGTTTTTGTTTTTGCTTAATTTTTTAAATTTTTAAATTTTTAAATTTT